AGAATTAGAACACAATGCTTGTTTAGAGAATTGTGACTTGACACCGCATCAATATCATTCTGAGCAATGTTTTTCATTTTCCTCCCACTCTAACTTTTTAAGCCTTAAGAGAATTAGTTGAAAAGCCAGGTCTTTTGGGTAGATACTAACATTAAGCTCTCTACCCTGTCACTTGGAATCATAAGCCTGGGAAAACAGCTCACAATTCCACGGTGTCTTGTCTTCTAAGATAATGATTGATAGATTTTTTTTTTCTCCTTAAAGCCTCCTATCCTCGTTGAGTTTCTCACCGGTCACTAACAGTTCTGCCAACCGAAGGTATGGGGTGTATATTGATTGCAAACTCTTTTTCTCCAATTAGACCACAGTGTCTCTGAGCGCACACATACAAGCACGCACTCATGCACATGTGCACACACCTACAGACACACACACACATTCTGTTGTACAGCTGTTGTTGACTTGCCTTCCTCACTTCTGCCTACCAGTCTGACTCCTGCTCATCCTGCAAGCCCTACATCAAGACATATCCTCCCATGAGCCTTCCTGGAACCTCCCCTGCAGTGAATTTCTCAGCTTCCACCACACCCTAACGGTCTAGAGAGTAACACCGTTAGGTCCAGGCAAGAGGACCCCTAACTTGGGCTTGGGGCTTTAAAGATCCCAGAATCCATAAGACTACAGGACTGAGGTTAATATCTCTGACTGGAGCCTACACCCTTCTTTCTAGATTATGCTCTGGGACCCAGAATCTTCTGCTCCAAATGGCTACACAACCACTTTCGGGGCCTTAGGCCTTTTTCCTGGACCCATCTTCTCAAGGGCAGACCACATGACAGACCACGGCCAAAGGCCAAAGGCCAGCTGTAGTATTTGCACATATTTTCATGGTCCTTCAAGATGCGGGACAAGGGGGAGTGGGAAGAAAGGGGGAGTAGTCTGTGACCAGGGCCAGTCCCCTGCTTTGCTTTGTTGGGTCACTGTGCTTATAGCAGTGGGCTTGGGTGTAATTCTCAGGTCATTGCACAGATTTCTCCCGCTGAATACATCGTGCTCATGTTAATGTGGGAGTGGGACCACTCTGGATTAGAAATACGTTTCACTGTAAAGTAGCACACAAAATGAACAGAAAGGGAAAGCGTTAATAAGATTACTAACAAGAGGGTGGATAAGCCCTATGAGATATAATTTCAGTCAGTCCTCATAACAACCCTGGGGGGTTTGATTGTGTCCCTTCAAGAATTAGGAAGTCTAGGCTTGGAAAAGCTGGGTTTGCCCCTGGTCTTATAGGAGGGCAGGGAGAGCATCTTCATGACTCTACGGCCTACTCTGTCTTCATCCCACCTCTCCAGGGATCTAACTCAACACCTTCTGGGACATTGACCTCAACTAGTCTTTAAAGAGTAACCCACAGATGGATAGTTCCCTGTTTGTGGATCTATGGCTACCCAAGAAAAATTGGTTCCAAGAGTTAGTGTCACAGATACTGATGTTCGCTACCCGGCAGTGTGTAGGGACCAAGCTACAAAAAAAGAGTTCTTCTCAGCCTTGGCTCCAGCTAGTTAGCCAGTGGGGGGAAAGAGGGGTTGCATGCTTGTTTGTTGGAGGCTGGAGGACTGGGAGTTCCAAAGACCTTTGTTACATTCTAACCTTGCAGAGCTGAGCAATTTTGGGTTGCTTTTTCTTGCTGATAACACTGTTTCCCTTACCTTCCGTAGAACAGACCTTAATAGAAAGCTCGCCTTCATGGTATAAGGTTAATGAATATGAAATCAAACAATAATAATATCTCTCTGGTGGATGGGATTTCTAAAGAACATATGTTATATACATATTTGAGGACAAGATGTAAGAGTTAACAGGGAATTAAAGTCCAGCTCTCCCTACCTGAGGGAACTGACTCCCAGAGACAGCAAGTGACTTAGTTACTTAATTAGAGTGAACCCAGATTTCCTGTATCCTTATCCACTATGCTTCTTCTACAACCTAAAATTCAGCTTATGGATGCACAAGCCATTTTTGTATATTTTTAAAAATAATATTAAAGTCTAATCAAATGTGATAGGTGTAGGTACTACCCACAGAGATGTGGGAGGTGGGTGGCATTGTGTATAAAAGGAAATCTAAATATTAGGTCTTTAATGAAGTAGTGTTCCCTGATCTTTCCATGGGCATTACTCCAAGACATTAGAGGTATATTGCTATAAAAGGGCCTCCCAAACATCTCCTTGGAAAAAAACAATATTAACAAACTTTTGTTCAGGGGAGAGAATTCCAATGCAAACCATTGGTCAAAGTTCTCTCTTTGTTACTAGTAAATACTTTAAGAACAGTATTTTGTCTAAATCAATAAAGATGAAAGAGGATGATGTAGGAGGTGAGAATCAGAGTGTAGAAAATTCTAGTATTTTCCCAATATTCCAAAAACACATATGGCTTTATTCAATTGCAAGGTAAACAGAACATGGAATTTACCAGAAAAAAAGTAAGTGAAACTGGTGATGTCAGCTTTTCATATGCCAACTATTATGAATCAATGAGAATTAGAAGCAACAGAAGTAACATTCCCTTAAAAAATACATTTTCTTTTTTTTTTTTTCCAGAGTCCAAACTGAGGGTTCTAGACGGGAGGGGGGTGGGGGGATGGGTTAGCCTGGTGATGGGTATTAAAGAGGGCACGTTCTGCGTGGAGCACTGGGTGTTACGCACAAACAATGAATCATGGAACACTACATCAAAAACTAATGATGTAATGTATGGTGATTAACATAACAATAAAAAATTTAAAGAAAAAAATACATTTTCTTATAAAAACTGGAAGAGAATTTGTGGCACTTTACCAACACTAAAACTGTGTAAGAAACTACAGCGGGACTATAATGCTTTTTAAAATCCATTTGTCTAAAGAAATGAGAGATGGATCATATTTAATAAAGGTTAGATATGCTCACGTTATCTTCCTGGAATCATAATTTTATTACAATCAGATTTATTAAATGTTATCTGATTTTACTCTCATCTTAAAACATCTGCAAATGATATAATTTACCTGCGTATTTGGCATAACAACATGCTCTTCTTGATTTTTAACAGAACCTAGTTCAAGTGTTAATTGAATAAAGCCGTTCAAATGTAACTTTCAGGTCATGTCTTTGAACACACTATACATGCAATAGTATCTGTCCAGCAAGTGTCAATTTTTCTTTATTTAAAAAAAATCATATCATTTAAATAAGTTATTTACTATAAATAAAAGTTACACACAAACACATACCCATACATATATCTTTTTAAAGTAAAGCGAGATTTTAATCCACCCAAGACAAGCGGGAGCAGAAAAAAAAATACGGCTGTGCGCATTCTGCCTGTTGCCGCAGAGTAATACGGTAAACAGCCGATTACCGTACTCGCTGGGGCAACTGTCTGTGTGACGTCAGCGAGAGCTAGCTGCAAAGTTCCTTGCCATTCTTTGCTGATGTCGGGGAGCTGAATATTTAAAGGATGAATGTGGAGTTATTGGTTGGCTATTGGATTTTTTTTTCTTTTCCTATTTTCACTATTTTAAATTCTGCAGGTAAAGCGATAGTGAGCTGGGAGCTTAGAGACATCTGTGGTGGAGGGGTGAGTCAGCGGGTGCAGAAGAACTAAGAATTGGTTCCTCGGTGAGACGGTCGCCTCTTCCCCCAGAGAGGAGGCGGCAGGGCTGCTCGTGGGACCGAACTCCCGGTCCGCTCCCTGCTCCAGGTGAGTGCGCGGCGGCGCGGGACTCGGGCGTCCAGCCGGGCCGGGTGGGCGAAGGCACATCTCCCTTGCTTCCCCGTGAGCCGGATCCCGCACTTTCCCTAAGCGCCCCCCCGCTTTTTTCACGCGCTGTGACACCAGCATTCCCACCCCACCCTGTTTCCCTTAGAGATTCTAGAAAGTTACCTCCTAGTTAACAAGTGTGTTTTTCAGCCCGTATTTATCGCCCCGTGGTAAAGAGGCTTTCTGCAGTTGCTTGCTTTTAGTACCACCTGTGAGCTCTTGCACTGGTGATTTTTCACAAGGGCCTTTGCCCCTAGGGTCCCGCCTCAGGGCCCCGACCCCAGCCAGAGTCCTTAGAAGGCAAGATGGGTCCCCAGTCCTCGCATTCCTGCCTGAGTCCCTGTGGTCGGCTCGCGGGCCGTAGAAACCTAAGTTTCTCACACAGACCACGGCCCCCAGCCCAGAAAACCGAAGCGTCCCCCTTTCCGCTTGATTTTTAAGGCCACCAAAGCCGCAGTGACCGCCACTTGCAAAGCCCCTTCTGCAGAGTAGCGCTTGCCCTTCCCACCACTTCGCCTGCACCCGCGCAGCCCGTCCGGGTGTGGCTCGAGGCTCAAGTCCTCCGGCACCGCCGATCCTGCGGCTTGAAAAGGGCTCCTGGACCGACCTGGGTCGCGTTCAGCCCTCGGGCCCCGCCAGGCTTTGCTCGGGACCTGGCTCTCGAGCCGGCTTGGCTGGTCGACAGACCGGCGCGCACCGCACACCCGAGTGTGAACTCCTCCGGCGTGAACGTGCGCGTGGCACGGGCTCGTCTGCGGTCCCCGGGTCGCTGCGGTTCCCTCTCCCAGGCCGCCCCCTCCAGGTGGCTGCGATGCAACCTGTTCAAATGGCAACCGCCAGTTTTCACCGACTCGGCTCTGCGCGACACGCACAAACGCACACACCAGCCGCAGTCCCGCCTAGCAAGCTTCGCGGGGTTTAATTTCGCTGCGCGGCCGCTCGTAATTGGCCGCCGCAGCTTGGGGTTTGTTTGCTTCGGATCTTGGAGCGGGCCAGAGGCCGCGGGCCGCGCGCCAGGGCAGGTTCCCAGCGGCGAGGAGCCCGGCGCGCGGTCCCCTCGCGCGCCGCCTGTGCTGCGGCAGGGCACGCCGCTCCGGGACCGCAGAGTCGGCGGGGCCCCCAGCCGCCGCCCACGGTCCGTCGAGCCGGCTTTGGCCGCGCTCCCCGGGGCGTCTGCTATACACTCCGCCTTTCTCTTTGCGCTCTTTCAGGAGGACTCGGGCAAACAACGCCCCTCAGCCGCCTCGGTCCTGGCCAACATTTTATCCACTTCCCCCGGCCTGCGCGCAGAGAAGCTGGATCTAGCACGAATCCACCGCGGGCCACTCACCCTGTGGGTAACTGCGGGCCGGCAGAAGCGCCCAGATGCCAGCGGTCCCCGCCTTTGAGAGTCGACGGCAGACCGGTACTTGACTGTGGTTTGCGGGGAGACTGGCGCTGCACTGTTGAATTCCAAATTACGTGCAGAATGCTGAGTCTTCTAAGCAGGACGGATCAGACAGTACGCAGAAGCGGGCCCCTGTAATTCTGCGACTGCGTTTTGCCAACGTGCCTCCTCCAGCTTCGCGCCAAGCCTCGGGTAGGAAGGGAGTTGGGGCCGGAGGCCAGCGCAACGGGTGGATAGGGTCCGCGTGTAGCCCCGCGCGCCCCTGGCCATGTCGCCTTTAACGCCCTGCCCCTTTGCGTGGCTTTCTGAGGGTTTGCACGGCAGGCCGGGGTTGCTTCCCACCCGCGCGCTCTCCCTCACCCCCAGCTAACCCCAACGGGCAAGGCTCCCCCGAGCCGAGACCTTTTGACTCTGCTCCCTCGCTTCCGCCTCCGCCCTCGCCCGGGGGTGGCTCTCGAGAGCCGGACCTCGCCGGCCCCGGCTGGGACCATGGTGTTTCTCTCTGGAAATGCCTCCGACAGTTCCAACTGCACCCACCCGCCCGCACCGGTGAACATATCCAAGGCCATTCTGCTCGGGGTGATCTTGGGGGGCCTCATAATTTTCGGTGTGCTGGGCAACATCCTCGTGATCCTCTCCGTGGCCTGCCACCGGCATCTGCACTCGGTCACTCACTACTACATCGTCAACCTGGCGGTGGCCGACCTACTACTCACCTCCACCGTGCTGCCCTTCTCAGCTATCTTCGAGATCCTGGGCTACTGGGCCTTTGGAAGGGTCTTCTGCAACATCTGGGCGGCGGTGGACGTCCTGTGCTGCACCGCGTCCATCATGGGACTCTGCATCATCTCCATCGACCGCTATATAGGTGTGAGCTACCCGCTGCGCTACCCCACCATCGTCACCCAGAAGAGGGGTCTCATGGCTCTGCTCTGTGTCTGGGCCCTCTCCCTCGTCATCTCCATCGGGCCTCTCTTTGGCTGGAGGCAGCCGGCCCCGGAGGACGAGACCATCTGCCACATCACTGAGGAGCCCGGCTACGTGCTCTTCTCGGCGCTGGGCTCCTTCTACGTGCCACTGACCATCATCCTGGTCATGTACTGCCGGGTCTACGTGGTGGCCAAGAGGGAAAGCAGGGGCCTCAAGTCTGGCCTCAAGACCGACAAGTCGGACTCGGAGCAGGTGACGCTCCGCATCCATCGGAAAAATGTCCCCGTAGGAGGCACCGGGGTGGCCAGCGCCAAGAACAAGACGCACTTCTCCGTGAGGCTCCTCAAGTTTTCCCGGGAGAAGAAAGCGGCCAAAACACTGGGCATCGTGGTCGGCTGCTTCGTCCTCTGCTGGCTGCCTTTTTTCTTGGTGATGCCCATTGGTAAGTCTTTAAACACCCGACTTTGGTATTTAGGGATCTTCATCCTGTTCCCCTCTGCCACCCCAGACTCACAGTCGGGGGGCGGGGGGGGGGAGAAAAAGGATCTGCATTTCAAACAGCAAAGCGCGGGGTGCGGGGGGGGGGCAGTTAGGAAAATGCTCCTTTATAGAAGAGTGAATTTTAGTTCCCTTTCTTCTCCCAGTTTCATTTATATTATTATGTCCTAGGGCACTTTTTCAACTACTGTAAGGTAGCCTCCAACAGATTAATTGGTCTCCTTAATACGAACATCAACTTTTCTTAATGCCGTTAAGCTTGTGTTTAATTTAAATAGATCCCTCTTCTTTGGAGTCTCAGAGTCTCCAGCACACACTTCGGCAGGGGCTGTGGAATGCCACTTTTCACCTCTGCTGCTATGGACTGCAAATTCTCTTGGCCTAAAAATAAGCACCATACTTATTCTGAACAAATGTGTAATTTTATTATTAGATTAGATTATTCCTAAGGGTTAGTCATAATGGTCTGCTTATGTTCTATATCTGTGTTAATTTTATTTTCTGGTTTCAGTATGGAAGAAAGTGTGGCCAGCCACTGACAAGAAAAAAAAAAAGATGATTTTATGTCCAAACGAATTTAAGCTTTAAAGAATTCAACATAATGTTTCCAATAAGTGATACTTTCCCCTTTATTTTAATAGTATTAAAACAAACAGTACTCTTATCCAAGATCATTCTGGAAGTTGCAGATGACACTTTGAAAATAATACAGTAATGTTACAAATCCAACTTTTGCAAATGCCATATTAGCTATTGTCAAAGCTAATTAGCTCATTGTAAGTATCAGCAAGCTGATCCACTTGGAATAGTCATCTATCTCTGAAAGGCCTTCATGAGATCCCAAAATGGTTGTTTGCTATTTTTAGTTTGTGAGCTCAAATATAGACCCACACATTTGTCCACTAACTCTACCAAACAAAAAAATTTATGATAAAAATTAATAAAAGTTCGTTTCAGGCACTTTAGAGCCAAATTTAAGCAGCATGCATTTAAAGTACTTTAATTTGCACCTCTGTGTCATAATAGCAGCTATTCGTTTTTGAGGGCTAACTCAAAACTTCATTTGTCCAGGCTCTTTATCTCATTCATCCTCTCCACAACTCAGTGAGGAATGCATTATTATTCTGAAATCCCAAATTGGGGTGGGGGGAGATTCTGCAGGTTCTAGAGCTTCACTAATACCATAGCCACCAGCCACATGTGGCTATTTAATGCAAATTAAAATTAAAGATAATTAATATCCAGTCCCTCATTCCCACTAGCCAAAGTTCAAGTGCTCAATAGCCACACGTGGCCAGTGGCTACTGCTGGAGACAGCAGAGATAGTATGCATTTTCATCGTTGCAGAAATTTCTATCTAACGGGGCTGCTTGAGAGGCCCTCTGAGTCCACTAGCTGGCTTTCGATTGTGCCTGCCCATCGTTACTGCTGACTCTGTCCCTGGAAGTACATCACAGCTTGGAATTTATTTAAATAACACTTTTGCCTGAACCACCGCTTCCCTACCTTTCTGTGTCCCGTCTCTTACTTCCTCCTGAAGCTTATTCGTGCATCCATGCCCTCATCAAGTATGTATGGAGCACTTGTTCTACGCGTATAGGTTGAACAAGGCAGCAAACTCTATACCAGTAAAATGTTCGCGTTCTGTTAGGGGAAATGGACAAACAAATATATCTCAAGAAGTCAAGGATTACTAAGTATTATTTAAAAAGTAAACCGGATAAGAGAATAAAGATTTGCAGGGCAGTGGGCTGGGTGGTCAGAGGCGTTCTCTCTGAAGAGGTGATATTGGAACAGACCTAACTGAAGTGAGGAGTAAACGTTGCCAAGTCCAGAAGGGCCTTTTGGGTAGAGGGACGGCAAGTCCAGAGATGGGAAATAGCGTGACCTGTTCAAGGCAGAGCAAAGAGGCCAGAGTGGCTGAACTACAGAGAATGCATGGGCAGACAGGTTCAAAAACGGGTTGTGGAGACAGACCAGGTCAGAGTGATGTGGGTCTTTTAGGCCCAAGCAGAATTTGCATATTATTCCAATTGCCATGGGAAGCCATCCAGACAGGTTTTAGGAGGGGAGTGGCTGGTTTTATATTTTTAAAGGATCACTGTGGTTGCTGGGTGGAGTGTGGGCAGTTTGGGGAGATGACTGTGGAAGCAGGGAAACCGGTTGGGAGGCTGTTAGAGCAGCCAAGGTGGAAAGGTCGTGATGCCTAGCGCTTGGGTGAAACAGGTGAGGGTGGTGAGAAGTGATCACATTCAGCACTTACTTCACAGGTGGAACTGACAAGTTTGGACATAGGGTATGAGAAAAAAAGAGAGGAATTAAAGATAACTTCTGGGTCTGGGGCCTAAGCCCCTGGGCAAACAGTAGTGCATTTGGCTGAGACTGGGAAAACTAGAGAATGATGGAGTTGTTAGGGGCTGGCAGGAGCAGAAGCACACGTGTTTATTTTGTGTAGCCACGCCGAGTAGTGTCTATTCAACATCTAAGAGGAGATGCCAAGTGGCAGTTAGATACATGAGTTCGGAGCTGCAAGGGGCTGCTGGGCTACCATGTAAACTGGGGACACATCAACATATTCAAAGCCACAGAAGTGGACAGATCTACAAGGGAGGACATACGGAGAGAAAAGAGAGATAAGAACTGAACCTGGGGCATTCTTGCATTCGAGGGCCGGGGAGAGGAGGAGAACCAACTAGCAGAAGAAGTTGAGAAGGAGCGACCAGGGAGGAAGGAGGAAAACCAGGAGACTGCGTGGTTCCCAAAGCCAAATGGAAATGTTTCGAGAAGGCAAGAGTATTCAGCTGTGTCACAGGCTACTGCTTGGCCAAGTCAGAGGAGGGCTGGGAATCAACATTGGCCTTGGCCATGTGGAGGTCCTTGGTGATATGAGGATGTCCGTGGAGGATAATAGTCTCATGGAATGAGGGAGACAAAAGCCTGACTGTGTGCTTCCTAGAAAGAATAAAAGATGAGGAAGTGGGAACAGTGAAAAGAGACAACTCTTAGGAAAGGTTTTCCTAGACAGTGGAGCAGGGAAATAGAGGAGAGCCGGAAGGATCTAGAGAGAATTTCCAAAAGTGGGAGATAGGGTACCACGTTTATATTCTGAGGGAACGATGGAATAGAGTTGCTCATGGTATAGGCCAGGGAGGAGGTGGGATTCAGTGCCCAAGTGGAGTGTTGGGAAGTGAGGGAGAAGCCAGGGACTATAAAAGCACAGAGGCAAGCAGATATGGAGAGGAGAGGCAATCAGCTCTTCAGAATATATTTATGCCCTTGACCTAATGAAAAGCAAGATCATCAGCTACAAGTGAGGAAGGAATAGGAAATGATGTTGGTTTGACGAGCAAAAGAAGATGTGAAATACTAATCGTTGAGGCGAGAGAGTAAATAGATTATGGAAATTTAGCGGAGTCACCAGAAAGTCCTAAGGACATATTTGAGATTTATAGTCATAAGTTGAAAGTAAGACCAGTCAAGAAGTTGTGTGTTACTCTCTAATAGCTAAGAGGCTGAGGATTATGGGGAATGTTGCTGATGATTGACCGTACCTAGGCACCACAGTAAAGACATGTTTATGCAGGGACATAAACTGGAACAGATTAGGAGTCATACAGATTCAGATAGTAGACAAAAGGGAACTCTGGTCTAACCAGGGCCTACCTCTTGTATCTGCTCTCCTGGGGAATTATTAACATTGAGGTGAAAGGTTACAGTGGCAGGAAGTCGTGGTAAGACAGGATCACCCAGAATCACTGGGCCTCCTTTAAATCCTAATAATGCAGTGCAGCAGGAGGGAAATTGAAAATGTACAGTTGGCAGTCTGACCAGGCTGCTCGGTCGGCAAAAGGTCCCTCAACATACCAGGATCTGTGGTCCACAGTTTCTTCGTGCCACCACGTGAGCAAGAGCCTATTTCTTCCAGGATTTATTGACTATATAATAAGTACCAGGCACTGAGTTAGAACAAAAAGAAGAACAAAGCACATTCCCTGCCCTCAAGGGCGTCACAGTCTACTTAAGGAAACAAATTAGGAACAATTATCACAAGTCTATGAAGTGGTATTAGAAGTGGGAAGGAATATCACAGTTAACTGTGTCTGGGGGCACTGTGGAAACTTCTAGATGTACCACTGTTGACTGAGCAGGGACTTGAAGCCTGCACTGCTTCTGCTGGGCCATCAGTGAGATGTTACTTGTTTTTAGTAACTGTCTTAAGTACATTTTTCATGCAAAATGTGAACAGGAAGAATAAATAGGCCATTAGATTATCATACACAATGGACACAAACTCTTAAGTATGACAAGTACTTCTTGGGAAGAAGAGATTATCAGTCTGAGCTAGGCTGTCAGAGAACAGCAGAGTTAGAAACTAAGGAAGGGACGTGCGTGGTACACAAAGCTGAGAGGAAAGCGCCCACATGTGTAGGAACCGGCCCAGGATAGTGAGTGAGCACTCGTTCATGGCCGAAGGCCGCCCTTCTACCCTGTGAGAGGGCTCCTCACCGCCTCCACACTTCCTTCCTCCCCAGCTCTTCCCATCAAGGCTAGGTTGGTTGCTAGACTCGACCGAATAGTGTGATTGCTGGTAGAAATCTGACTTGCCCACCCTCAAATCTTGTTTTCTTTTTGCATCCTCAATGTTTGGCTGAAAGTCAGAACCCCTTGGAGGGAGGGGTGTCACCTCTGAGGCTGTTATCAGTCATTGATACCTTGGAGTGAATGTTTTGAAAAGCCAGGTTTTGATCATGGAGCTGAACAGGGAGAATAGAAAGGTGAAAAATGTGTCTTGGGGGGAGCTCCAGCGCCTAAAGCATGTACATCATCTTTGCTTATTTTATCCCTTGGTCTAGAGCCTGCCAGTTCCAGAGTCATCGGGCTGAGTGGGAAAAGTCGTGGCCTGAGATTGAAAGCTAGGCTTTCTATTCCATAAAATAGGACGTG